GTTTCTAGTTCCTGTAATCAGTTTGTTGGTTGGTAAAGGTTTAAAAGTAGAAGTATTTTTAGTTCCTAATTAAAGCATAAGAAATCAATAAAGTTTATGTTCACAGAATTATTTTGTAACATTCCATAACACTAGTTAATTTCATACATATCTTTCATATTTAAAATTGAGATCAGCAGATTTCAAATTAAAATATTGTTTAAAAAATTATACTAGCTTTTTTGAATGTTTTACTAAGAGGTGTTTTAACACTTGTTCAGTAATTTTGTCTATTTTTGAAATATTACATTCTACCAACAGCAACTAGTTTTTGCCATAGTGGTAACTGAATTCAATAATATAATCAGTAATACATCCACAAAAAAACCTGTTATTTCAATGTTTTTTGTGAGATTTCTGATCTTATTAGGAAGTTTCTGATTAATTCTGAGATTTCCACAGCCTTATTAAAAAAGCACTTACTACCATTCATTCTTGTGTTTGATAAAAGATGGAATAGTAATAGAAGTTATTATTCAGTTGTTGATGAGGTACCACCAAGTATCATAAATATGCAAATCAAATACTTTTACCAGATTATTATTTAGTTTGTTAAATTACACATTCTCTGTTTTCTACACAGGAATATCTTGTTTAATTATACTGACAGTGTTTTTTGTTCAGTCTGTACTGCTCTATGCCAACTAATAAAATATTTATTTATAATTTTTCAGGAACTTGATTATTATTGCAATATTTTATGGTGTTCCTGTGATTCAGCTTGTTTATACTTATCAAAAAGTAAGTTTTGACAAATTTATACTTGACAATGATGTTGCCCAGCATAGTAGCAAAGTACTTATGTGTAATTCTCATTAATTGAAGTGTTTTGTTTTGGAGAACCAGTATAATAGATATTTAAACTCAGTCAGCAAATATTTCAATATTCCCTTTACACTTCTATGTCATATCTCACGATTTAAAACAACCACTGTAAAAAAAAAGGTTGATCTATAGAATGATTGATATTAAAATTTTCTTTTAGACATTGATTAAAGAGTATTTCTATAGTATGCAGTCTTGTCATAAAAGGTATTGCATAGAATTTTTAAACTGACACTAGTACAGATTTTTAAATAATGTTGGTAAATGTGAAAAGTCTTGTCCAAAGTGAGAACAAACAAAACTATAAATAATACAACAATAATAAGTACTAAGACTTTTATCTCTGAAACAAAAATAACTGTGAAATGGAATTATGGTTTGTTAACAAACTTATAGACGTTGTAGAATTTGGTTAAGTCTTTTGATATCGGTCAGTTGATGTGACCGAACTTATAACCCCAAAGTAACCATCAGAGTTACCATACTATAACTTTTAATATGCTAAATGTATTTTCATGAAATTTGACAAGCTTTTAGTAAACACTACAAATCTTTTGTACACAAAAATCTGATTTTTAAATTATTTTTACTAAAGATTTGTTCGTGAATATGTGAAGTCAGAGTGTTGACTGCTCCAAGTACAATGTGATTTTCATGCTAAGATTAAAAATACTTTTCTTCATCTGAAACTTTTCAAATTTTGCTGATGTAACCTCTAAAACTTCCTAAATACCAAATTTTTTTCATTTAAACTTTATATTTTATTTTCTGTTCTCTTAACTTTACATGAACTTAAATGATTCAATCAACCTTGTAACAACCATAAAAAAATCGGAAATAAATATAAATTACCCTTTATTAACTACTTTTTGATACCAGGTTTATTCTTATGTATTGACAATAAAGTAATTTAACTAAGTTTTGAATGTAACTCTGTAAAAAATTGTAACATGCACACTTTAATATACCTTTACCAAGAGGGTTAGGGTACTATATATTTTTCAACTAAAGACCATGCTCACCATTAAATAATTGAATAAGGAAAACAGTTGCCATACATCAGTTGACTAAGTAACATATATTGCCTTTTTTCCCCTTTCCTGTTGTATTTCTCGTAATCTTTCCATTATTGAGTTTTATTCTAATAACCTGTGCTGTTGTAACATAAAATTACAATAAACAGTACTTTTTAGTATTTACTTTCTATTTAGTCTATTATGTGTTTTACATTTGTTCAAAGTACATGAATTGAAGGGAGTTTTATTCTAATGAGAGATGGAAGTAAATTACTGGTTGTATGGAACATATATATATATTTCTTATCTTTTTCATTTCATTCTGAATTTATTTCTAGTTCTGTGTGAAGATCTGAAATTATTGTTTTGCCTAATTTTATTTGCTTTAATCCATCAAAATTTAATTACTTAGAATGAACTTCATGACAGTGTTAAATAATGCTGTAGAACCCAATTTATAAAAATACTGAAATCTGTTGTTAAGTTTAGGAAAAGTTTTACTATAACAAAATAATGTTGTAATTTGTAAAAAAAAAGAGCATTGATCAAGATTTATCTTTCGTTCCTTTATATAAATTTTTATATATATCATTAAGTTATTTAACAAGCTCTAATAATTGCTTAGTTTTGGTGTCAATACTTTATGAAAATTTTATTTTTTACCATTTTAGGTTCTCAATGTCACTGGTAACCAAGATATATGCTACTACAACTTCTTGTGTGCCCATCCTATTGGTGTGTTTAGTGATTTCAACCATGTATACAGTAACTTGGGCTATATTATGCTAGGTTTACTCTTCTTGGGACTTGTAAGGAGAAGGTAATAGTTTTTAATTGATTATAATGTAAAATAGTTTACTGTTACTAATTGTTCATAATTTGTTATAAAATACATGAAGTATAAATTTTAAGTTATTCATCATTATATTACATTTTATCTATTTTAAATGTATTAATAATTAGTATAAAAACAACTACTGTTGTATAGAATGTCTTTCCATGAGTCAGTTAAAGACAAAACTGAAACTTCAATATTCAGTACAGTAGTAACTGAAATGTGCTATTGAAGTGGTAGTGGATTAAAATATGAAAAATAAACCAATGCTGTAAGAAAATTTCAGAATAATTAATGAATGTAACATTTTCCTAGTGCATTAAAATGACTTATTTGAGCATTAATGACACACGTGTTAAACACCATGCCTGCTGTTTTTATATGTATTAAGTAAATATGAGGTCCAGTTGACCAGATATCTAGTTTAGCTCTCTCAACATTACCTGCCATTTGACAGATCTTGCAACTATGTGTACCAGGTAGGCATGAAAGTATCCATGCTATGATAGTTAATGTGATTAGTGTATCTTCACAAAATTTGACAAGCTTTAATTAACATTTCAAGTATCTTGTGTGTAAAAAATCTGATTTTTTAATTAAATATTCTACTAAATATTTGTTTATGAATATATGGAGTCAGTGCTGACTAGTCCAAGTGTAAGGTGATTTTCTTGTTAAGATTAAAAATATGTTTCTTCATCTGAAAATCAACAAATTTCATTTGCATAAACAAATATCAAATGTTTTATTTTTTCAATAAAACTTTATATTCTCTTATTTTCTTTACCTTAACACTATATGGACTCGGTTGATTTAACCAACCTTGTTACCACCACAAAAATGTATGAAATCTAAATTATATCTGTTTTTATAGTTTTATTGCTCTTTAAACTTGTCTAACTAATAATACTGTGATACAAATGCATAGCTGAAGTTACTGTAATGAATGATGTAATGCATAAGCTACTCATGAACATACCTCATAATCATACCTCATTATTTTTTCATTACATAACCTATATATCAGCTTGCCCAATGAATTTTTTTTTTTACAAAAATCAACTCAGTAACACAAAGAACACTCAAAGTATCTCCAAGAATCATAGTACAGAGAAACCCATTAGTGAACAATTTATTGAGAAAAAGATAGTTAAACTATAATTATATGACATGGTTCGCTTGTTGCATGATATTATTTTGTTTTATTTGATACATATTTGAAAGAAATAAAAATATTTAATATACTAGCATCACAATTACAAAAAAAGAAAGCTTAAATTTCTTCAACAGTATGACAGCAAAAAACAAGAGGCTAAACATAAATACTCTTGTTTTTTTATGTATATTTTCTATTTATTGTTATAAAATTAAAATGTAAAAGTTAGAAACTTATTAAACTAGAAAAGGTTAGATTTAGAACTCCATCTCACTACAAATAACATCACTGTCAGTCTCAACTGAGAGTGACTCTTCTCCCCCCTTCTCCCGATTGTTGAGCAACGTTAGATTTCAGAGGTGGGATAGGAGAGACCTGAGTTGCCTCCTGCTGGAAATGATAATCCAAAAATCCATGCCCAGGGGGCTCTGAGGCTGCAATTGAGGGTGATCCTGGACATTCAGGAGACAATTTAGATTCACTTTTTCCTATGACTTCCTTTATTCTGTTGGCTTCTCAGGAGGCCACTTTGGGATCAGTTGCCTCAGGCTTTTTATTAGTTGATCCATCAAGTGTGTTATGTTTTGGGTCTTTCCCCAGTTGCTTTTGAGCCTGCACATTCCTTGAAAGGTTAAATGTCTGGGAACAAATACTTAGTTCTTCCTCCATCCACTGATATTGTGGTTCACTCAGTGAGGTTTACTGCTCAGTTACGTGAAAGGTTAGCTATGCCTTGTCTGCCACGATTGTCGGAACTACGTGGTTTAGCCTACCACTGTCAGGTGGAAGCATATTCCGACTCTCAAAGAATATATTTGCTTCTGGAAATTTGGAGTTCTAGTGTGGATTCTGTAGTTAACTTGAATAGATCACAACTTTCTAAGATTTGTCTCACCCTGTATATGGTGCTGGGTTATTTGTTATCCCTCTAAACTTTGTTGGAAGACTCTCAGGATCACCATGTCCATTGTTGATATGCACCTTAGCTCAAGTGTCAACCTCTATATTCATCCCAGTTGTTGTTGGCATCTCAACTTGTCTTGGCTCCTACAGGGAGTCATATTTCCACCCCTATTCCAGTGTCCTGACCCTTGACATCAGCGTCCCACCACTATATGCATTTTGTGCTCAAGGGTTGAGGTGCTGTAGTTTAGGGATCTGGCTTTCAGACAAACATTGGCACCATATGTGTTCTGCCGTATCATACGAGTTTTTCTCATCACCTCCTTTCTCTAGGACTGTGCACACACCATTCCATGGATGAATGGTTACTGCTGCCACCATCTTGTCCATTAGTAGAATGTCACACCCGAATTCTACTTTCAGAAACAACCAAGGCAGGCTTAATTATCAGAGATGAGTCATCTATTCTCGTACCAACACAATATATCGTCAGTCTGGGTATTTTTTTCATCACATATCTTAGTTGCGCTCAGCTGACTCCCATCTGGCTCCAAGCTATGGAACAGGAAGTCTGACTCTTTCTCACCTCTCCTTCTCTCACTGCATGGATGTTTCTTTTTCTTTTGGGAATGTGAGCATCACTTGAATCCCTCATTGCAAGAGATCCCTGCAATGAACTTTATGCAACCAATAGATTATGAACAGTGATTCACTGGATTCTCCAGTTTTCTTACTCAGGATCATTCTCTTTGATCTCAAGGAATTGGAACACTACTAAGATATGGGTTTCTCTGCTGCCACCTCATCCTGAGATACATCTGTTTACAGATGCCTCACTTCAGGGATGGGATGCATATATCAACGGTCAAGTATTCCAGGGTCTATGCACCAATTACGAGACTTACTAACACAATATTTTAAACCTTCTTTCTGTTCAAAAGGTGATGTCTCATGGTCTGGGATTATTAAATGAAAATTGTCCGGCTCCATTCCGACAATTCCACAGTGGTGTCTTGCATTTCTCATCAAGGGGGCACTTGGTTCAGGGCTCTTAGTTTTCAAACCTTCGGGGACTCAGAGAAATTTTGTCTCGAGCATAAAAAGGTAGTCAACAAGGCCACTTTATACAGGCCAATTGTGGAAGATGCAAAACCCATGTCAAAGAGCCAGGTCAAAAAATGAGTTATGGTTGTCACTTATGATCAAAGTGGGTTCAACTTCCTCTCAATACATCATTGCCAATATGTGACCATTTCTTTTGATAAATGTACATCGTGGGACTAAGCAAAGACAGAGACAGATACATGATAACCTTAGAAATTAAACCCTGACACCGTGTGAAGGACTGCATAACATCCATACCTGAAGTTTGAGCTTCTGGATAGCTGGGTGTACCATGTAAGATCATGGCTGCCTTCACAGAGATGGCCAAAGAGGAAGTGGAAGAGGTGGGTAGTCCTGAAGGTAATGCAGAAGCAGAAACCAGGGTTTAGTTGCCAATCAGATGCTACCAACAAGACCCAACAATGGGTTGGAACAAATCATAGCTAATACCTTGGTTAACATACAAATCAATGGAAAGGCCTAGAGTTGTAAATCCGTTCTGTCCTGACATAATCCATCTACTGCCAAAGCCCAAAAGTAAAATACTGGAGATCAAGTTGCCAGTAGTTGGGTGTTCCAATGAGTGGCCAATCCAACAATCATCAGTGTATCAAAATGAGAGCCAATCCAACAGAAAACCTCACGGTACAGCATCTATTCTGTTGGGAGAATTTGATTGTGTCAAGACAATTAATCTGCCAATGAATTTATCTCCCATGGAACATGGCAAGCTAGTAGGGTGATATGATAGAAGTGGTATCGAGAAAGAAGATTTCTCTGTAGGGATCTCATAGCATGTGAGGAACTCTCCAAGCCAACAACTTCAGGAACTGGAAGTACACCCTGTCTGCCTGTGTCTTAGGGAAGAAGAATCAGTCTGAGGACACAGGTAGATAATGATAAAGCTTCCTTTGCACAATCAGCTCAAACCACTCCACACAGGTGATGTCTGTAGGTCAGCAGCAACTGAAAATAATCCTTCAGGGATAGGTGATACATGGCACATGAGGCTAAGGTCTCAAACGGGTGTTGAGAATGGGTATGTAGTGCCACTTTAATATTCCAGTTAGGTAACTGAAGTAGTTGTTTACTCACTATACATACAGGAATGGGAAAAAACTTTGTTCCACCTATATGGTGAAGCCACTGGGAAATTGACATAGTGTACAAGAGGGGTGGGATCTTAACTACACTGATACAGAAACCTCTGACCTACTTCCTACAGCATTATGCTGCCCAATTAGACTCAAATGATACAACAGAACACATACCAAACTATATGGTCTGATTATTGCCCTAGCCAAATTATACATCATCCAATCTAACAATTGTGTGTAAATGCTCAATTGGTCATGCACATTTCCACCAATTCCTGTGAAACATTGACTTTTTGGTCTTTTCCTTTCATACTTCCATCCAGTCAAAGAGTTTCCCATGAATGTCACTTTTCTAGTAAGTCCTCATTATAGGGTGTCACACTCCACAGACATTCCTTCTTTAGTTGCTTTCTCCGAAAAGAGCTCATCCATGTTTTCACGATTGCACAATTATGGGATTCTAGCTACTATGTGCAGAGAAGTATGGAATAGTTTCAGAAGCTAACATTTTCCTTACCTGAAATTTTATTTTTGGTAGATACTTCTCTTCACATCTTTTCACCCTTCCTCTTCACTACTATTACGCAGTATTCATGCCTCATTGAAGAATGAATTTCGAGCACAAGTGTTTTTGAGGATCCACTGCACATGTAGGATTTGTTGCCCTCCTATTGGTAGAGGGCTATTGTTACATGATGATTATATCGTGCATTAGCACAGTTCACGTTAAAATGTGTCGTAGGTGGAAGATAGCTCAAAGCTAATGGCATATGCAAAATCTCAAAGACAGATGCATGAGGATAGCTACAGTGTAGAGAGACTTACTATTGAAAATACATTTTCAAGTAAGGAAATTGTTTATTTTGATAATCTTTCCAGTAACCATATGTGTAAGGAGCCCTTCAGGTTGAAAATATAACAAACCAATTTTTCCTTTTACAAATCATTATGTTACCTGCAAGACATTTTTTTTCTGTACACCATTGATGGTTCATGGTTGTAATTCTGATGATAAGGAATATAGACTATGGAATGTTACATTCTGTTAGTCTTTGACATCTGTTGATGATGTATGATGCATGATTGAAAGATCATAACATAATTTATTAGTGGACTTTGTTTCATTTTGGCTTAATTAAAATGTAATGGTAACATATTTATTTTACTAGCATGTCCAGTTCCTTGTAAATTTTACTGGGTATCTTGCATTTGGATGATGCAAATAAAAACAGAAAATTTCAAAAGTATATAATATAGCCTTCTTTCATATTATTTCATTGTTAAATAAGTATTTATCTTTTTAAGAACTTGCATTTCCTTATTACAATAACTGTTACTGCTAGCATCCTTTATGTACTTTTCAGCATTGGTTTTAATGTTTGTTTATAAGCTATATATTTTAATGCTTTTATTTAAATGTTTGCTAGAGGATGTATGACATTTAGATCAAGCAAGTTTTAGAATGCATAAAATATTTGAGAGACTTTATGAAGTGTTTAGAAATATGGCTGGAATATAAATATAAGAATATGTGTTTTACTTTGAGTGAACAGTGAATGATTATTGCTTAAGTAGAATGTCAGTCACTTTTAGTCTAGTGAAGTATTTAGTTTTAGTGAAGCATTTGAATTAGTGTTAGTTACTGCATATATTCATTTACTTAATTGACTAGCAATGAAATTGCACAAGTGAATTCAAATTTTTACATTCATCTTTTGACTTCCATTTGAGCATCATTTGTAAAGCTACTTGGGCTTACAACTCACTAATTACAATAGTGTGCAAGTGAAGGCAGCTTGTAGAAACATCAAGAAAGAAATATACTTGATAATAAAAAGAAAACCCTAATGAAAAACAACATTAAAACAGTATTCAATCAAATTCTTTGACTGTTAGTTATTTGCTAATTGTTTTTTTACTTTGGTTTTGGACCTGATTTTGTTTCCTGTCAATCAAGGATATTTTTAAATTTTGTGATTATGCTTGTCTTTTAAAATGTACATGTACTTTTTTATACATCTTTATTCCAGAGCATTGTCATTTCACATAGTCATGTACAGTACTTTCCAAGGCATAATAGATTGAAATAATCTTTGTGTACCCATGTAGTTAAATTTTTTTTTCCCTAAGAATTGACTAGCCTGAAAATGTTAGTTTTTATTCTAAGAATAATTGTAAATGAAGAAGATAAGTCTAATTCATGTAATTAATGATACTTTTCTTAATTCTTTCACCTTTGTTTATTATGTGAAAATTATATAAGCATTAAGCTGTGATATTTGTTATATTAATCCATAACTGTTAGAATGAAGTGAATATACCTATACATTTAATTAATTTTTGTTTTGTCAGAGCTTTTAAATCGTTTTTTAATAAGTATTTGTTTTTTTATAACATAATAAAATCTGTTATACAGTATATCCTTGTATATATAAAAAAATCACTGAGCTTGCTTATCTCTTGCTTTTCAGAGAATTTGTTCAACATGACAGAGTAGATAAGGTAATATTGGACATTTTAAGTAACTGTTCTATTGTTTTAGGTGTCTTATCTGTTAACTACATGTAAAACTAATAATTATTTATACATTTAGATAAATATTTCAGTATTTTGGGTTTTTGGATTTAATTTCTTGACACAAACATGCAAATTAAAAATACCTTTATAAAATTTACTTTAATCAGAGAAAGATGTTCTCTTTATTTTCAGATATTTGACACACTTAGATATTGGCCATTTTATGTCACTATAAATATACATTTGCAGATACAGCAGCCAATTTGTTAGTTAAAAATAATTGTTAAAAGTAATTAAACATAGGAAATATCATAATATAGCAGGCCCAGCATGGCCAAGTGGTTAAGGTGCACGACTCGCAATCTGAGGGTCCCAGGTTCAAATCCCCATCACACCAAACATGCTCGCCCTTTCAGCCGTGAGGGCATTATAATGTGATGGTCAACCCCACTATTTGTTGGTAAAAGAGTAGCCCAAGAGTTGGCGGTGGGTGGTGATGACTAGCTGCCTTCCCTCTAGCCTTACACTGCTAAATTAGGGATGGCAAACAATAATATAGCATTATTTAAAGAATAAAAAATTTAAGTTTTCTTATAATTTTTATATTTTTGTCTTTGATTTTAAAACTAGCATTAATTTATCTCCAACTACTCTCAGGTTTTGAATAGAATTGCTATTTGTTATTTATTTAATGAAACAGTTACATACAGCCACTGCCAGTTGTAAAATGAAGCACTTAACAATTTTTTAATGGTTTGGTTTGTTTTAAATTTTACACAAAGCTACATGAGGGCTATCTGTGCTAGCCATCTCATAGTTTAGCAGTGATAGACTAGAGGGAATGCAGCAAGACAACAGCACCCACTTGGGTCTTGGGCTATTCTTTTACCAACGAATAGTGGGATTTACCAACACATTATAATGCCCCCACAGCTGAAATGGCAAGTATGTTTGGTGTGACTGAGATTAGAACTTGTGACACTCATATTGTGAATCAAGCACCCTAACCACCAGGCCATTTTTAGTATGTGTTTGCACCACTTAGTACATATTGTAATCACTGTACATATGAAGCTTAGATGACTTATTCACCAAGCAGTACAGAATAGACAGGTGTATAAATCTCTGTTATTAATGTGCACAATCACAACACTTATTAGAAGAATCTGAGGAAGTCACCCTGAGTATCATAATGGTACAGTACGAGTAGAACAAAAACTGTTGTTCAACTTATTACACAATTCAACACATGTCAAGATAAAGCTGTTAGAATTTAAAGCAGATATATAACATTCAAGTGTAGAAAATAGCAGTTATAGTTTCTACAGTCACTACTAGTTGTAGAGTTAAGCATTTATGATACAGTTCAGGCATTAGTTGATTTAGGATGAAGCGGTCATAATTTAATGGATCCACCAGCAAGTGTAGAATTAAACAGTTATTGTGACCTATTTAAATGTAAAATGAAGCAGTTCATAAGTTAAATGAAGCTATTACAGTTAAATGTAAATTCAGATTAAGAAGTTAGCACATAGGAAGAATAATAGTGAACTATTTGAAATCACTCGAGTTGTGGGTCTCATTTGAAAACCATTACAACAGTTGAATGTATCCACTCTTAGGCATAAAATGGCATTGTTTAGATTTATTATGTTCCAATTTATATAAATAATTTCAATATAATCTGTGTTCAGTGAATAATAAATGTTGTGAAGCAGTTTTATGAAATATGCAAATATGAATAAAATATACAGAGTGTCTGAACATTACATGACATTTCAAACTTCAACCACACAAGACAGTAAAACAGTTACATACTTATGCTTTCTGATGGATGGAGAGCACATGTGTATGCAGTTTTTGCCATAATAAGTATAGTACATGTGTCATTATGTCATCAACAAACAGGTGACAGAGAAGGCTGTGTGCATCCTGTGGAAAGCTGAAAATTAGAACAGAGTGACTAACAGTCAAAGGACTTGGTCAATAACACTACTGTGGGGGTCGTGGGTAGTTATAATAGTAGATGATATTTTTGGCTATCCCGATTGCACAAAATATAAATTTTCATTGAAAATTACAGCATTTGCATTATTTTTTTGTAAACACAAACCTTAATGTTATAGAAGAACAACTTTTTGTTTTCCGCCATGTCTGTCTCCACAATAAAGTCGCTAGGTTACAGCGACATTTTTATGAACATGTTAAGAAAAACTGAATTTAGCTTTGATTTTATGTGAGAATGTTTACAAATGTAAATATGGTTTATAATGTTTATGATAGTACTTTTTTAACCTTCTTACATGTAATACTTTGATAGTTTTAGTGTGATATATGTATCCACAGAAAGGATTGAAATTATTGTTCATTTCAGTTTATGTGATACTTAAGAGAATCACCATCCATGTTTATGTAATTTGTGCTTATTAGGTATTCATAAATCTGAAAGCTAGAACCATCAGTTACAAATAACTGTTTAGGTACTGTTTTCTTACTGGAACAACTGCTTGTAATGTTGGTTTGCTTTAATAAAAGATAACTGTTTTAATGACATTAAGATTGTTTATAAACATGTTCTGTCTTCACTGAGAATCACCATCCATGTTTATGTAATTTGTGCTTATTAGGTATTCATAACTCTGAAAGCTAGAACTATCAGTTACAAATAACTGTTTAGGTACTGTTTTCTTACTGGAACGACTGCTTGTAACGTTGGTTTGCTTTAATAAAAGATAACTGTATTAATGACATTAAGATTGTTTATAAAGATGTTCTGCCTTCACTGAGAATCACCATCCATGTTTTTGTAATTTGTGCTTATTAGGTATTCATAACTCTGAAAGCTAGAACTATCAGTTACAAATAACTGTTTAGGTACTGTTTTCTTACTGGAACGACTGCTTGTAACGTTGGTTTGCTTTAATAAAAGATAACTGTTTTAATGACATTAAGATTGTTTATAAACATGTTCTGTCTTCACTGAGATTTAACAGTTTTGGTTAATATATGTTAACTAATGTATAACCCATCAAAAATTATGGGTTGAGTACTACCACTCCCACACCATAGTATACCCTAATCTCACATTTCATAGCTAACTGAAATAAATAAATTTTGCAAAATCAAGTATGACCAACAAAGGGGCACAAAAATGAAGTCGAGGCAGTAAAACATTGGTAAATTCCTATGTGAGCCAATCAAAATTATGATCATTCATGAAATGAATTCGTGGCATATTCATAGAAAAATTATTGGTAAAAATAATTTATATTAACAACTTCTA